TGTAGTGGACTAAGCCTACGTCGGAACTAAGTCTAAGGTCAAAACTCTTGACCTTTAGAACCTTGTGGGACAGAAGCTGTCATTTCATGTATTTGAATACATAGATACAGGTTCACCCATCCTGAGACTTTCTCTCTTGAAGATTCAAGCGAAAAGAACACTCTCTTTTTATTATCATTACTATCTTACAAATGTTGATAATCAAAGTGTCTTAGTTCAAACCATTTTAGATGTTGCAGTGAACTAATCAATTTTATTAACTGAGTAATGAGTTTTATTCTCATGTTAAAAGCTGTGCAGAGTTTATGCATTTTTCTGATTTCTGCTTTTGAATGAGCAAGTGTGTGCGTTTACAAGGTTACAGTCAAACGAAAAACAAGTTGTTATGTTAAAACTGTCATGTTTTAGAATCCTCTCAGACGTAAATAGAGATGTTTTGCACCTGTGTCTTAGGCACGCCAAAACAGAACCCTCTCGGTCTGTGAGAACATTTCTGAGCTGTCTCATAACAATTCTCGCTGTCTCTAACCCCTTACGTCACAAAAACACACCCCTTCTGGTCGTTTCTGACCAATGAAAAATCCCAAAAAGTGAACCGGGAAAGAGTCTTTAAAATGTCAGTACTTCCTGGTCTACACAGACTCTACAGAGACTCACAGGTATGCAGACGGACTCACAGGTACTCACAGAGTGACTTACGACTCACGGAGTTACAGAGTTCACGGAGTTGGAGAGTTGTCAGACTTCTAGAGTTCTGGAGTTCTGATGGAGTGCTGTTGGAGTTCCTGACATGACAACGAAGCTCTTCCGAGTTCCATGGGATTATAACATTTTCCACTGAGGTGAATGTGTGTCGAACAGAGCCTCGCCACTACTTCTGACGGGCAACAGCCATTCTAAGGAGACGCTGGACCGGTAGCGTTAACGGAACACCATATCTGCTGATTATCATCAGAGAGGTAATGGGTCAAGTTTCCTACCAAGCGTACCGAGGCGAGCTGGGCTTCTGATGGAGAGTGTCGGTTCTGGAAAACACTTAATTTCCCTCACACACCATCCTTTACTCCCTCTAAACTTCTTTCCATCTTTAAACTTTCCTATGAAGTAGAAATTCTCCCAGATATTTAGAAATGTCTGTGTAAAGTGCTTATTCACATCCGTGTGGGTAAAAGATCATAGTTGTACAGTTTTATAAATGTCTGTGGTGCAGCAACGGAAAAATCATGGCCGTATGATTTTTCCTGATTGATTGCTTGTTGTTATTTTCATAATTTGCCAAATTAATGTAAATGTTTGATGTTAAATTTGATTCTGTAAATAAATGACCGCATTCATTTTGATGGGTCAAATTTAAATGACGTCTCACGTTTGCATTTCCTTAAATTCAATGCACGTTTTATTCAGTCCAGAAAAATGAGGAACTCGCGTTAAATGATGAATATATCCCAGCATCTGTTCATCTACATGTGTATATAAATATAAACCATACGTATAATATAAATAATATATATAATATATATATATATTTATATATATATATATATATATACACGTTGTTGAGTTCTTTCAAACTATGAGAACCAACCTTCAAACACTTAGCTCAAAACTTGCCTCAACTCGAGACTGTTCAGTGGAAGGAAGACAGAGTCAAAGACACAGCCCGAGAAGTGGTTCTGAATTCAGACAAAGATTTATTTTACCTTCACAGTGCTGAAAAGAGAGACGGTCTCACATGCACCTTACATCCATCAAACACGTCTAAGTTACAAAATGTCTTTGCTTCGTTTAAATACAGCGTTATCAGTTACATTGGGATTTCCTTATCATGATGTTGTTCTGGGTCAGTCAATGCTCCTGAGCGTGGTCTGGCATGGTCTCGTTTTTTAACCCACTGCCCCAGCTGAATGTGGTCTGTTCCGGCAAGATAGCAACAGTCTCTGGTTCTCTTGTACAAGGAGTTATGCACATCATGAACTTCTATGACGTACATTATGATTTTGCAGTTTTTTACCATACACAGAGAAATATTTCATGTCAGAGCATAGCAAAAAAGATGACATTATACAACATTTCCCCTTTTTGGTCCCTCCAAGGGGACCACCTCTTTGGCTACAAACATCTGTCCCTGATGAATAACAGAACAAATAGAACAAATAACACGGCCACTAGTGTAAATTACCTCTTAATATGAGACAATGTTGTTTTAATCTTTAGTCCTTTCATCACCATGTATGGATCTCTGAGGGACTCAGCGCTTTCTCTTGTTGTTTCTCAGTGTAGCCAGATTTCTGTTTCTGTGTTTAAATATCTCCGGGTTTATTGGTCGTAGAGTGTTTAAATATCTCCGGGTTTATTTGCCGTAGAGTGTTTAAATATCTCCGGGTTTATTCGCCGTAAAGTGTTTAAATATCTCCAGGTTTATTCGCCGTTGAGTGTTTAAATATCTCCGGGTTTATTTGCCGTAGAGTGTTTAAATATCTCCGGGTTTATTCGTCGTAGAGTGTTTAAATATCTCCGGGTTTATTCGTCGTAGAGTGTTTAAATATCTTCGAGTTTATTCGCCGTAGAGTGTTTAAATATATCCGGGTGTATTCGCCGTAGAGTGTTTAAATATCTCCGGGTTTATTTGTTGTAGAGTGTTTAAATATCTCCGGGTTTATTTGTCGTTGAGTATTTAAATATCTCCGGGTTTATCCGTCGTCGAGTATTAATCTCAAGGTTCGCTGTAGAGTATATCTGTCTCTGATTTTGTTGTTTATTTTATGGATGGACACCTGTGTTTGTCTTTGGACCAGTAGAGACATTGGTTTTTCGGCTTCTTTATTTTTGTTGCTGTGACTGGTCAGATTATTCTCAGGACTTGATTGTAGGGGGCAACTTCCCCTGAACTTCTCTTTGATTACTCCTAATATCTATTTACTTTTTGTTTTTGGTGAGGGAATAATGCACAAAAAGGCACAAGAGACAGTTTGTTATGTTTTGTTTCTGTGTGGGTTGACTCTGACAGCTGCAGGACTCTGTGGAACTTCTGTGATTTACTGTTGGTTGCTGAGAACCATGGTTAAGGAATTATATTTGATTGACAGAGGGCTCACTTTGTGGGAAATGTAATATGGGACATTTCATCCAAAAGGTGTCTTTGTTTTTTTGAACATAATGAAGCTTTAAATTGGATTAACATTTCTGTGTGGCACCTTTACTAGCAGGTCTGCTATGATAATGCTTCTTTATTTCACTAGTTTTTTTTTTTTATTATTATTTTTTTTTAATTTATTCATTTATTTTCTTCTCGGACTACAGGTTTTTTAGTTTTTTTCTATTTTTCTTTTCTTTCTCTGCTTTCACTTTTCAGGCCTTTTCAGTTAGTATAGATGGTCTTTGTTCAAGCATACGTGCTTGTGGGGTTTGGGATTTCTGACTGTCTGTAAGGAGGGGAAGTTTAGGCCCGTACATTTTCCTGACAAACAGATAACTGGTTCAGCTTGCAGGTTTCAGCGATACTTAGGTCCCGGATATTGTAATAAATTTTCTTGAGTTTCATGTTTCTCTGTGTGAAAACTAATCTTTATCTGCTTATCTCTCTGACAGATTTCAGGACACGAGATACGTTCCACAGCTGTGCTGGTCGGAAACTCCTGAACTGTCCCGCTTTACGTGGTTCACACGTCATTTGCTCTGGTTTTGAATCGCCATTTCTGAAGTTCTCACATGTAAGGTTGACGCTGCATCTAGGTCTGATGCAACTGTGACTTTGCTGACAACTCCTGACGGTGTCTGCATTAAATGAACTGTGCTGCCTCAGCCGTGTGGACCGACAGATATCAGGTTCAGCTAAGATACAAGCTGACATGTGTCATACCTGGGCCATGTGCAACGTTGTCCAGATGGGGACCTGGACTTTTTCTCGACCACTTCCAGTCAAGTCTCGCTGTCTATACAACTGTGGAGCTGCAAAAAGATGGACTGTTGAAATAAATCTCCAGAAGAAGGGGGCCTGGAGAATGACGTGACAGCGGTGGTCAAGCTGTTAAAAGTCACTAACGAACACTGCAGCCTGGGTGACGTGTCAGCTGAATATGTGAGCTTCGGGATGGTGGTGCAATAACTTCAGTTTCATGATCAATACTGTCTTTGCTGTGACATGAACATACACACATACATTCATTCCTTCAAACATCTGTGACAGTTTAACACAGAGGACAGATCTGACTGACACATGATCTTTAGACCTGCAGAGCCATACTTCTGATGGGTTGCTGGATTACCCACCTTTTCCAATTACTCTTCAATTATGTACATTCATTTTTTCCACCATGTAATCGCATTAGAGCAATGCAGTTTTGGTTTACCTGCGTGGACACCTGTTTGCGTTTGCTTTTGGGGGTGAACATCTTGTTTTCTCTTATTTCACCTTATCAGACCCGGCATCCATGTTGGGAAAACATTTTTTTACATGACTGCACTGACAGTATCAACAGGTGATTGTGGCTTCACTGTTCTGTGATATGTGTACTGTAAATGATTATGGTTGACCTGGACTCAGACGTGTAGGTCGGATGTTAGACGATATTTTTTGTTATTGGGTCATGTGGGTTTTACACCTGTACTGGTCCGTGCCTAGATGACATTTGGTGTTCTTCCATTTGTATATATATATGCAATATATATAGATAGATATATAATAGATATATGTAACCCGTTTTGATATTTAGAATGATATTGTGTTAAAACCATGATCTGATTCCGTTTCCGGTAGAAAATGTAGTTTCAGCTACATGCCTACAACTCCCAACATTCACGC